TTACTAATGTCCACCTGAAGATGCTATTTGCTTGACTGTCCAGCTGATTCCCTGGTTTCAATCATTTCTCAAGTTATGATCCAGGTTATGCATGTCATGTTGCCTGGCTTCACTTTCTACATACTTGTTCCAGGTCAATGACTGAAAGGAGAAGTCAGGGGGGAGTAAAACATACTGCTTAGAGGTGCCATGAGACACAGCTCTATACTGAAGCAATCATGTAACCGATGAGCTCTTGGTTTCTTCTGTCCACAGAGAGCAGTGGCTATCAGCTGATAGCGGGCATTAGCCTACAATGTGATGACATGGTAGTAAATGTTTTCTTGTGACCCCCAAAAAAAGCTTTAGCTTTACTTCTTTTCTAAATGATTGAAATCATAGACAGCCTGGCAATTAACATTTTCAGAAGGAGATCGGCAGCCTAAACATTTCTCTCCAACAAATCTTTGCTCAAACATTATAAAAGAGTAAAAAAGAAAAGGATATTGAATGGGTGGTTTAGTGCAGCACACTGTGTTCTGGCGTGCATTGGCCTTGAAAAATATTGTCACGCTTGGGACCCCATCAGTCCACACTTAGGCATCCCCTTCCTGGAAAACAATTAGTATGATCACTATCCCAGCAATTCTATACATTTATCTGTGCATTTGTCGGAAAACTGAATTATAGGTATTGAAGGGATGGAAATAATGGTTGTGATCCACTATTTTACATGTTTAATGCTGTACTTTCATATGATACTATGTTTTGTTACATATCAATTCCCAGCTATGGATTTTGTACTTATAGGTGCCTGAGCGTTGAATGCCTTGCATGGTTTTCTCTGTGATATAGCAGTAGATGTGCCTGTGCTGCCACCTGCTGGTCATATGGTAATGCACATGCACACAGGGTATTTTGCTTTCTGGGTAGAGCGAGAGGCAGCCTTATACATAAAAAGAAAACTTATATTCCAACTAGGACTGCAACTGTCATCTATTTCAGTTGATATTCTATGCACGTTATGAAAAAGGGGATAGGGATGCCAATTTATGTCTTAAAAGGCCAACTCCACCTGGATGTTGGATGGACATAGACATAAATAGACTACAATCTCAATGCAAATTAGTAAACTAAAGATAGGATTGTAGCCCATCATGGAAGCGAGCTTGGAGCTGTGGCTACTTTACAACACACACAGCGGGACCATGGGGAACAAAAGTAGCCACCCTCCAGAAGGAAGGACAGTGTCAACACCAATTCAGAGATGATTTGAGGATCTACAGCTGAGTGATACACAAAAAAGATACATTTTTATTAATAGTTAAGGTACTTGAATGTATTTTTAGGATTTAACTCATGAGTTTAGTGTCATTTTACCTACTGATACATATAAACTACACTGGTTTTGTGGCCGACATTGCACTTCACTCGCTTTGTCATTGCTCTGGTGATCTGGGAACCCATGCTTATGATGCAGAACAGGATTTCCCATACACACACACTTGCAGGCTCTTGTGCTGAATATTGCCTTTTAAATACGAAAAAAAAAACCCTGATTTAAAAAAAACTGTTAGAATTAAGAAATTTCTTGCAGCCTTCCCTTAATTCAGTCTGCTTTGAAAGTTTGAATGTGAAAGGTGACACAGGAAAAGCGGCACAGGAAGTACACTGCCAGCGATTCTGTGAGGTGCTCTCTAGCTTCTTGCTGCAATTCATTATATGGAACTCCAATTAGGGTCAAGTGAGCGAATTTTGATGGTTTCGGCAAAGCTGCAGTGCTTGTTGGATAAGCTCACAGATAAGTTTTACTTGTTGTCTGGAATTTCTCTTTAAAAGGGACTTAATGGAGAACTATGATGTGAGTGAAAATCACTCATCCTCATAGTTAGAGCCAACATGTGACAATGAAACTGTCACACGTCGGCTCAATAGATTGGGAAGTGAGCGAACACATACCGTCGCTCGCTCACTTCTCGAACATCTCCCTGCAGAGAGCGGTGACTGTCAGTCACGGCTCCCCGCAGGGTTTCCCCTCTCCCTGCGCCAATCCTCCAGCGCTGACTGGAGGAACGGACAGGGGACAGCTCGCTATATACTGAGAGCGCCACAGTTGGGACGTATCCCGACAATACTGTCAAGATCCACCCAGCTAGCTGATTGACAGCCTATCTAGAGGCAGAGCCAGCTGTGCCCGCCCCCTACCCTGTCCGTTCCTCCAGTTAACGCTGGAGGAGCGGAGAAGGGCGGGGGAATCCCTGCGGGGAGCGATGAGTGACAGTCACTGCTCTCTGCAGGGAGATGATCGGGAATTGAGCGAGCGACGATATGTGTTTGCTCACTACCCAATCTATAGAGCCGACGTGTGACAGTTTCATTGTCACACGTCGGCTCGAACTATATGCATGAGTGCTTTTCACTCGCCTCATAGTTCTCCTTTAATCTTGTGTTAAAGCTTTGTGAATTAAGCCTAAAGTCTGTTATCTTGGAAATCTATGAAACACTCCAGAGATTTGTAAAGTGTCAAAGCCTTACTTACAAAACCCTGTATAACTACTCTGAATCATGCCAAGGCTCTGGCATTGAATAAAAAGCTACAATGAACGACCTTTACAAATACTGCCCTTACCCCTAGATTTGTGGAAAGGCAACATAGTCCGTGACCTCATCTGGCTCCAACATACTCCATGAGGTACAGAATAATCCACTCCTGGGCTTCTCGTTACCTTTCTGATTTAAATCACCTGCAAGTTAAAGGAGAATTATGGGGTCAGTGTTTTTCCCCATAGTTCTCCTTAGGGTAACAGGAGGACACAAACTAGCGTCCTCCCGTTACCCTAAGCTCAGTATACCGCGAGCTACAGCTCGCGGTATACTGAGACGCCGCAGCCGGAGCGGATCCCGACGTAGATGACGGGATCCGCCCAGCTGCGTGAGTGACAGCTGGCTCTGCCTATCTAGAGGCAGAGCCAGCTGTACCCACCCCCTCCCCCGTCCGTTCCACCAGTCAGCGCTGGCAGATCGGAGCGGGGAGAGGGGAATCCAGCCCCTCCCCCTGTCACGTGACAGGATCGAGAGGTGAGCGAACCTGGTATGTGTTCGCTCACCTCCCGATCTACTGAGCCGACCTGTGACAGTCTCATTGTCACAGGTCGGCTAGAACTATAAGGTGAGTGGAAATCACTCATGTCATAGTTCTCCTTTAAGTCAAGTTTTTGCAGCAGTTTATTGAGAAAAGCCCTTGTACATTGTGAAGTGAGTCATACTGAAGGGTCTGAAGGTATCAGCAGGCTACTCTTTTTGTCACATTTTTTCATACATCTTTCTCATAAAAAGAAATGAACAGCTCATAGGAAATGAACTTGTAACATGCATACTACTCTGTATGTGTACTATATGAGGTGTTTGGAATATTGTGGCCACAAGGGGGCAGCAGGATAAATGCTGACTAGGGGTATGTACAATTTAGATCTAGCCCTGAATAGCAGCTGTTCTGGAAAATCCCAAAGGTTCCAAATAGTCAATAAAAACTTGTCTTAGCGTGCTATTGACAGGCAGATAGTTTCCTGTGTTATGGGGAGAGAGATTTCTACCTGTGCCCTAATGACTCAACATTTGCTTTCTAGTGAGAACAGTCTAATTATTGCAAGCAGAAATGAGAAATGATTGTCTGTGATTTTTGGGTCAGCTATAGCCAGCACTATGGTTGGCAAAAATATAGACCTCATTAAAGTGAACCTGTGCTTTACCCATGCACAGGAAAACAGCAGTTTCACTTTATTCCTGAATCCCAAAGCTCCTTATGCTCACCTTCCTTTGCTCTCCCATTGCTCTGTTCACCTTGAGAAGCGAAGCCAAACACCCAATACGTTTGGGTATGGGAGGCATGTGGCTCTCTCCCACTTAACAACCGTGGTGCTCGTTGATTGCCTGCTTAGACATCCAGTGCTGTTACATGGAGGCTGGGAGACAGTCCATTAGCCCTGTTTAAGTTTCTGGATATTTACATGGGGTTTCTCCTCTTCATCCCAAGGTAGGGTTGCCACCTTTTCTTCAAGCGAAACCCGAACACTCTAGCGACCCGCTGACTTTTTTTTTGGGAGAATGAATTGTAGCTTAGATGAAAGTAGTCACTCGCACTCCATGATTATCATGGAGTGCGAGTGACTACTTTCATCTATCTACATTTCACGGAGGCATCCGTTGTCACCACCGCACCCACCCAGTTGGATTTGGGTTTTTGTCCGGTCAGGAGTGCGATGGGACAGGAGGATTAAGTTTGAATTGTAGCTTATTCATTTGTAAATAGCGCCACCCATTCATATGTAAATATCACAGTTGAGACTATTTTCAGTGGGGGGCCGGTAGCCCCTATCTTAATTTTGGTTGCCCCTGTCTGCCTGACATCATGTGTCCGGGATTCTGCTGCCACGATACCTGGACACAGCATTCAAAACCCAGACTGTCCGGGTGAATCCTGAACAGGTGGTAACCCTATCCCAATGGTGAACAGAGCAGTGGAGGAGATAAGAATAACTAGCTGCGGAGGGAGCATTGAAATGGACCTGTTGCTTTGCACTGCATGGGAAAATCACAGGTTCTTTTTAAGCCTAAGCAATATTGCTATCAAACCTATTAAAAATAATAAAGCCAATTCACCCAACCATGTCCATATCCAAATCAAGGCACACTCAATTTACCAAGACCTGCCCCTAAGGGAATCCATAAATATGGCCTTCCCTGTATAATATAGACAGATATAAAAAATATGTATCATGAAATTATAAGTGGATAGCCCACCAACAAAATGGCGCACCACTGAAAAAAAGATTACTCACACTCCACTGAAGGAACAGGACAAATAAAAGCTTCTAAAAACACTTCATCATTGTTCTGCACTATATACAATATTCTTCAGAAACCTTGAACACTATTATGGAAATAAAATGTCAGTCAATACTGTTAATGTTGATAGTAGTACACAGTCTTTGGAGATGCAGTACTGAGCTACATTCCAGCCATTGCAAGGATATGGCACCGTTCACATGGTCCTAGTGTATTCGATTACTGGATCCTTCTTTACCAAAAGGAAGAAACCGAGTAGAGAATCTGCAGAGCCATAGAGAAGCAGGGAAGCTGCGCAATGCTGTAGGCCAGTGAACGTGTCGGGGCTTTTAAGGAAAACACATAAGCTACTGTGTGTACTAGACGACCCACGAAGAAAATGAGGAAGTGAATTCTGGCGATGCTCAGGTTGGGATCCAACAAGGAGTAGACGGCACCAAGGAACAGGAATGGATAGATGTTTTCCATGTCATTGCGATGAGCCCTGCAGAAAATAACAAAGATTATAGTTGCCACAGTAGATAATGTAATGTTTCTTACACAGGTTAACTCCACACAAAAAGTAAGTAGATCAACGAAAGACTTCAAATGATAATTGTACATATGAACATATTAGCTGTGTTTAATATACCAAGCAACATTGCAGATATAACCTGTTATTTGTGACTTTGCTTTCCTTTTTGCGTTCCTTTTCAAGCTCTCATTACAGGGTCAGGCCAGTGCAAGCATTGCATTGTGTACACTTACACTATCTTCATCTGGAAAGACTGGAAATTCATTTGTGACTGTAGTGGAGTGTAGAGATAATGCTGATGTTTCTTATCAGAAAGCCTAGCATTAGCTATGCATTTATTGATTTCTTCTGTAGAAGGACATCCTAAACGGCATCTTCATCTGCATAGACTGGAAAGTTGGAAGGCATGTCCTCTACATATACTTGTTAGATTCATTGTGATTTGTGCCAAATTTATTTGTGGCACTGCACTTATGTAATCATTGGAGTTCACAACTGTTAGAGCATCATGTTTGGTTGAAAGGTAAGGTACTAGGCAAGAAATGTGCTGTATGAATGTGTTACATGAAATTTCCACGTGCTCCCAATAAAGTCCATTGGGGACAAACTTAATGTGGATTCTGGTTTTCTGACACACTACCAGAACTTTTTATGAATCTACAGAACCCCTCCTCCCTCCTCCCTCCCCCCTCCTCTAACAGCTTTCTCCTGTCTTAACTGACAAACTGTCATGTTGCTTAGCATTGCTTCTGACCTGAAGAAGAGAGGTTCACTCTCGAAAGCTTGTCTTTTATATATTTTGTTAGTCCAATAAAAAAGGTATCATTGCACACTGCAATACTGCATTTTTTGTCTTTTTTGACATCTTATATATATATATATATATACACACATACAGCTGTTATAGCATATACAGTGGTACCTCGGTTCACGAACGTAATTCGTTCCGCGATTCCAGTCGCAAACCGATTTGGTTGTGAACCGAATCAAACTGTGATCACACCGCAATATCTACCATGTGTCAGAGCAGGGAAAATGGCTGCGATTGTGTTCGTCACCCGAAGCAGAGTTCGCGAACAGAGGCAAAATTTAGCCGAACTTCCTGTTCGCGAACCGAATTGTTTGAGAACCGAATTGTTCGCGAACAGAAGCCTCCGTGAACCGAGGTACCACTTTATACATACAGCTGTTATAGCAAGTTTAGGCAAAATATTAGAACATTTTCCAATGGACACATTTCAAAGGATATTTAGGGACTCAATATACTAACTATGTCCTCAGCTGACTTAGCCAATGGGTTTAGTCATGTCTTTTGATTGGCTTTTCCGTTGGATCAGGCGACCTCCTCAATGATGGCAAGGATGGCTGGGCAATCCAGGAAGGGGCATTGTGGTTTGGTTGGAATGGGAAGGAGAATGTTGGAAATAGTAAGATCCCAATGGATGATGTCAAAGGAATGGCGCAGCATCATCAGTCCTCCAGGGAAAAGAAGATAAGAAGTCATGTGATGAGTAGGATCAGTAGTACCCTGATGAAATTTGAAAGCTAGTGTTTCTACAAAACCAGATGACCAGCAACAAGAAAAGTAAAGGACACAGGGAGGCCTGGTGCTCAGGACTATGCCTGAGCGGTGGATCACTCGGCTCACACGTCAATGAAGAACATAGCTTGCTGCAAGAATTCATGTGAATTGCAGGTGAATGAAAAGCAGAAGGTCAGGTAAAGTAAGATGTTCGATAATAGGTAAATCTGCGCTAATGGAAGCAACTCAAACAAAGGTGGATCTCAGGTTTAGAGCCGCCACACACAGGCTATAAAGCCTCACTAAGTCCTTAATATAATGGTATAGCGCTACAAAACCTCCTAATAATGTGCATAAGGTGAATAAATAATTAATAAAATGATTAATAAACTGTGCAATAACACAAATAAATGGAAATACATAGTAAATAAGTGATCAAAACAGTATATGGATGCCCAAACAATTCGTTGAACAACAGTCCAATCCTCTGAAGACGTCGAAGGACGAAACGCGTTAGGTCGGGTCTTGCTGACGGCACACTTTTCATCCCGAGGAGATGGATTTCTTAGATTGTTTGCCGGCCAGCTGCTGTATTTCCGAACAGTGACATTTTTATTGCTTCATTTTAATAAAACTTTAAATGCTGCACTATGAGGATTTCTATCTGCTTTTTACTTTGAACAAATATCAGAGGTAAATGCTGTGGAGGGAGTAAGATTGGAGGAGGAAGGAGCCGGAGAGCTTTCCCTGATTTCCTTAAATGCTGTGAAGACTGCTATTTGGCAGTCAGAGATTGTGGTGAGTGCGCAATCACTGGGGGGGAGGTGTTGAAATACACCGAGAGCACTATATTTCGTGGAGCTTTGAGTTATTCTGACACTGGTTCATTCCTTTCTTCACCTTTATTGGATTTGGAAGAATTGTTCCTCTGGAAAAAGCCTTACGCCTTGTTTCACGATAAAGGATTGGACTGTTGTTCAACAAATTGTTTGGTCATCCATATACTGTTTTGATCACGTATTTATTATTTATTACTATTTATATGTTTTATTGCACAGTTTATTAATAATTTTATTAATTATTTATTCACCTTATGCACATTAGTAGGAGGTTTTGTAGCGCTATACCATTATATTAAAGGAGAACTATGAGGTAAGTGCTTTTCAGGTCGGCTCAGTAGATCGGGAGGTGAGCGAACACATACCAGGTTCGCTCACTTCTCGATCCTGTCACGGCTCTCTGCCGTGACAGGGGGAGGGGCTGGATTCCCCTCTCCGATCTGCCAGCGCTGACTGGCGGAACGGACGGGGGAGGGGGCGGGTACAGCTGGCTCTGCCTCTAGATAGGCAGAGCCAGCTGTCACTCACGCAGCTGGGCGGATCCCGTCATCTAAATCGTGATCCGCTCCGGCTGCGGTGTCTCAGTATACTGCGAGCTGTAGCTCGCGGTATACTGAGCTTAGGGTAACGGGAGGGCGCTAGTTTGTGTCCTCCCGTTACCCTTAGGAGAACTATGGGGAAAAACACTGACCCCATAGTTCTCCTTTAAAGAATGTAGGATGTTCCCCCCGCTAATGTTTCTTTGTTGTTTTTTTTTTACATTTGTGACTGTAGTGTACCTTTAAATGGAGCGTAAGTGTAAAATGAACATCATTTCCTGAGCATCGTACACATAAAAATGCAGCATGACTGTAACAAAAGAAGTTGTAATTCAGTTGCAATCAGTGAACTTGGAGGAATTTCAGCTATTTTGCTATTAGCGGTATATTTATACATGTTGTGTGACATTTACATTAAAAGCTCTTTTTCTTTCAGTATAGCTGTTTATATAAACATCAACTGCAGTATGTTATTACAGGGCAGAGAGTGCTGAAACCACAACGTGATTCATACAAAAGAACTACTAAAAACATAGTAAAAAAACAACATGCGGTATATATTATATATTGTACACAAACAGCTCTGTAGCATGACTGAGCACATCGCATGCCTTCTTGTAACCTCTACAATATCCCTTCCCATCTTTCAAAGTTAAAGGGATCATTTCCTTTGAATTAGAAGTATGGGAAAATTGCCAATTTTTAAAGAAGAACTCCTGGAAAAAAAAGTGCTTGTTTTGTCTAGGGGGCTCAAATAAATCACCTGATCCTTGGTCCCATTGCGGTTGGCAGGGCCAGATTTACTCTCTCTGCTGCCCCAATGCTGGATTCCTCAAGGCCCCCTACCCCCCTGTATGCAGGCAGCATACAAGTGATCTCGGGGACATCACTGGGGTCACTTGTACAGAACAAGCGGCGGCTTCCCCGCTGTACATTTAGCCCTGCTTGCAAAAAGTAGGGCTAAATATAGAAAACAACTACCCGCCCAGCGCCCGGAACTGCATGTCCTGGGCATCGGGAGATAGGAATCTCACACCCCTGCTGCCCCTCTACTCCCTGCTGCCCAAAGGCCGGGCCTCGGTTGGCCTTGTGGGAAATCCAGCCCTGGTGGTTGGCACCCATATCTCTCCTCCACTCCCCTCCAGCTCCCTTGACATCCTCACATCTAATGCAGGTGCAGGTATCAATGGACCTGCATAAGACATGTAAACGTCTATGGTCCTTAGACCACCAGAGCCCATGGGAGAAAAGGCTGCGGGGACCGGTCTAGCAGCCTGAAGGGAGCCGGCAGGAGTGGGGATCAGGTAAGTAAATCTTATTTACTCCATTGTCCTAGACAATACAAGCACTTAACACTTGCATTGCGGGGATAGCCCCTCTGCAAGGGTAAATTTTTAATGTTTCCCAGAGTTCTTCTTTATAGTTTCAAGCTCACTGATCTGTAACAAGCATTTAGCCAGGGGAGTGGGGACTCCTGACCTGCAGGAAGTGAGAAAAGAGGACCACCATAAGGACATGGACAGCATTTAAAAAAGAGTCACCTAATGTCCCTCTTTCTGTAGGACACGCCCCCCCCACCCCCCCACCATGATAAGATATGTTCCACTGGTAGGGAGCAGTACACAGGATGTACACAGAGTTCATTGCCTTTTCCAAGTGTAGGAAATCCTCCTCCCAATTTTAATGGAATTGTTGGCAACAAAATGTAAAGAGGACCTCCAGGATTTTTTAAAATGAACCCTTGCAGTGGGGCTACCCTTATACTACAAGGTTGAAGTGCTCATCTTGGTCTGGGGTCTAAAATAACAACGATATGCTCACCCAGATCCGCAGCGACCGCACCAGATTGCTCTCCAATGACAGCTCAGATCTAATTCTAAGACTCTGAGAATAAGATCCGAGCTGTCAGTGGAGAGCAATCTACAGAAATGAAGAGAGCAAGTTGATGCACCAGAGCCCTTTGGTCCTTAGGTCCGCCACTGTCTCAGAGCCCCGCACAGCGATCTCCACAGGAGCGCTCCACTGACAGCCTGAACATTTGTCACCTGCTCTCCTCCGCTTCTCAAGGGC